TCTCTTCTCCCCCAAAATGCCTGAGAGCGCCATCCGGGAAGGCTATTTTCCTCCCGGCGAGGAATGTCCCGTGCCTTCCTGGATATAATGTCTCCGTTCCTTTTACATATTAACCGTCATGCCCGAGCGCATGCAACGGAGAGGTATGTCGATGGCGGAGAGGCAAGCGATATTCAAGGGTGTCCCTTTGAGAGAAGGACATCATGGTTGGTGGAAACAACTCATGGGTTTTGGGGCACGGGAGAGGCCCCATGACTTCGGGAACAAAGGTGCATTGTGCGTTGTTATCGCCGGATGAGAGCGCCAGACATTCCAGCCCAAGGGTTCGGTGTAGGTCGGCCGGATTGAGATAAAGGCAGAACGCAGGCATGTCCCCTAACAAAGGTCCGGATGGAGAGGTCTAGAACCCAGTAATTCATGGCCTGAAGGTCAAAGCCAGAGATGGGGCAGAAAAGAGCAAGGTGGAGGGAAGGGCTGGCCAGGAAAAAGGCAAAGGTTGTTACTGTGCAACGAGCCCACAACGAGTAAACTGTGCAATGAGCTGTCTTCATAGACTTGTCAGCAGCCTATGATACTGTGAACCACTGCTGCCTCCTCCTGAGAAAAATGTATAATATCACAAAGGACGACCACAGTGGTTCTCAACCTTCCTAATGCCGCGACCCCTTAGTACAGTTCCTCACGTTGTGGTGACCCCAACCATTACATTTTCATTGCTACTTCGTAACTGTAATTTTGCTACCGTTATGAATCCTAATGTAAATATCTGATGTTGTTGTTGTTCATTCGTTCAGTCGTCTCCGACTCTTCGTGACCTCATGGACCAGCCCACGCCAGAGCTCCCTGTCGGCTGTCACCACCCCCAGCTCCCTCAAGGTCAGTCCAGTCACTTCAAGGATGCCATCCATCCATCTTGCCCTTGGTCGGCCCCTCTTCCTTTTGCCTTCCACTTTCCCCAGCATCATTGTCTTCTCTAGGCTTTGCTGTCTCCTCATGATGTGGCCAAAGGACTTCCACTTTGTCTCTCGTCTCCTTCCCTCCAGTGAGTAGTTGGGCTTTCTTTCCTGGAGGATGGACTGGTTGGATCTTCTCGCAGTCCAAGGCACTCTCAGAACTTTCCTCCAACACCACAGCTCAAAAGCGTCTCTCTTCCTTCGCTCAGCCTTCCCGAAGGTCCAGCTCTCACATCCGTAGGTGACTACAGGGAAGACCATGGCTTGGACTAGGCAATGGATCTTGGTTGCCAGTCTGATGTCTCTACTCTTGACTATTTTGTCGAGATTGGACATTGCTCTCCTCCCAAGAAGGAAGCGTCTTCTGATTTCCTGGCTACAGTCTGCATATGCAAGATGTATTTTCAAATCCCAAATACCCAATATGCCCAAATTTGAATACTTGTGGGGCTGTGGGAGGGATTGATTTTGTCATTTGGGAGCTGTAGTGGCTGGGATTTATAGTTCACCTACAATCAAAGAGCATTCTGAACGCTACCAATGAGGAAGTTGAACCAAACTTGGCACACAGAACGCCCATGACCAAGAGAAAATACTGGGAGGATCTGGTGGACACTGACCTTGAATTTTTGGAGTTGTAGTTCACCTACATCCAGAGAGCACTGTGGACTCAAACAGTGATGGATCTGGACCAAACTTGGCACGAATACTCAATATGCTGAAAAATGTGAACACTGGAGGAGTTTGAGAAAAATAGACCTTAACATTTGGGAGTTGTAGTTGCTGGGATTTATAGTTCAGAATGAAATAACATTCTGAACCCCAGCAACAATAGAATTGGGCCAAGTTTCCCACACTGAACCCCATGACCAATAGAAAATATTATATTTTCTGATGGTCTTTGGCAACCCCTCTGACACTACCTCGCGACCCCCACAGGGGTCCCAACCCCCAGGTTGAGAAACACTGGACGACCACCTCACCCACCTCATAGGAAACCTGCTACAAAACAGGAGCTTTTTTGTTGAGGTCCAAGGCCAGAGAAGCAGATGACAGAAACAGAAGAACGGCCTGCCTCAGGGGAGCGTGCTTGCTCCATCCATGTTCAACATCTACACAAATGACCAGTCACTGCCAAAAGGGACAGAGAGTTTCATCTATGCTGATGATCATGCCATCACCGCCCAAGCAGGGAGCTTTGAGATGGTTGAACAGAAGCTCTCCGAAGCTCTAGGTGCTCTTACTGCCTATTACAGGGAAAACCAGCTGATCCCTAATCCATCTAAAACACAGACATGTGCCTTTCATCTCAAGAACAGAGAAGCATCCTGAGCTCTGAAGATCACCTGGGAAGGAATCCCACTGGAGCATTGCAGCACACCCAAATCCCTGGGAGTCACTCTGGACCGTGCTCTGACCTACAAGAAGCACTGCCTGAACATCAAACAAAAAGTGGGTGCTAGAAACAATATCATACGAAAGCTGACTGGCACAACCTGGGGATCACAACCAGATACAGTGACGACATCCGCCCTTGCGCTGTGCTGCTCTGCTGCTGAGTATGCATGCCCAGTGAGGAACACATCTCACCACGCTAAAACAGTGGATGTGGCTCTGAATGAGACATGCCGCATTATCACGGGGTGCCTGCACTCTACACCACGGGAGAAATTCACACTGCTTAGCCAGTATCGCACCACCTGACATCTGCCGGGAAGTGGCAGCCAATAGTGAAAGGACCAAGGCAGAGACATCTCCAGCTCATCCCTTGTTTGGGTATCAGCCAGCACGTCAACGACTTAAATCCAGACATAGTTTTCTAAGATCTACAGAGACACTCGCTGGAACACCTCAGCAAGCGAGAGTCCAAAAGTGGCAGGCTCACACCCAGAACCTCAACCAATGGCTGATACCAAATGAGAGACTCCCCCCTGGGCACACACAGAAGACTGGGTGACTTGGAAGGCGCTGAACAGACTGCGCTCTGGCACCATGAGATGCAGAGCCAATCTTAAGAAATGGGGCCACAAAGTGGAGTCCACGACATGCGAGTGTGGAGAGGAGCAAACCACTGACCACTTGCTGCAATGCAACCTGAGCCCTGCCACATGCACAAGGGAGGACCTTCTTGCAGCAACACCAGAAGCACTCCAAGTGGCCAGATAATGGTCAAAGGGCATCTAATCAACTACCAAACTCACACATTTTGTATTTTGTCTGTTTGTTTGCTTTGTTCTGTTAGAAATGTAATATAATTGACTGGCTGCCCTGACACGAGAAATAAAAGCACACTGTGTAACGAGCAAACTATGCAACTGTTAGAGAGCCTAAATTGGGTCTTCTTAGGTCCACATCACGGGAACACGTAAGGAAGGAGACAATCCCAAAAATGATCAAAAAACAAGATTTTTTTTTAGTTTCTTCATGATGAAGACGGACATCATGAAGAATATGCATGGCAGCATACGCAGATGCTACCCTTCAAGTGACTGCCGCCCCCTCCTCTTTTTCTGCTGACTTTTATACTCATGGAAAGTACTCTCTTTTTAGCCCCTCTCCCTTGACCTTTTGATGGAAAGTACCTTCTTGTACCTGCAGACTCTGCGCTTAACCACAACCTTTGAACTTAACCACAACACAACTTTTGACCTCTACGTGTCACATCTTGGTTCTTAATAACATTTTCTTCCCTGTTGCTCCTTTTCTACAGAGAAAGGGTATGTTTCTCTTTTGCTGTTAATTTCATTCAAAGCCCCTTGCTCTTACCATTTGCAAATTTCACTCAAAGGCCCTTTCACAACGAGCCAAGTGTGCAATGAGGAAATCATACACAGATGAAATAGGTCAGAAACAGGCATGGGCAAACTTCCTCCGGGTGTTTTGGACTTCAGCTCCCACAATTCCTAGTAGTTCTTTCAAAGAGTGGAGAAAGATGGCAACTGATCATTCTTTGGGCAGGAGTGTGCAATGAGTCGAGTGTACAATGAGTAAACTGTGCAACAAACAAACTGCAACGAACAAACTGTGCAACGAGCTCACTTGAGTAAGGTGTGCAATGAGCAAGCTGTGCAGTGAATCAGCTGTGTAATGAGCCAATTGTGCAATGAGCAATCCGTGCAACAAGTTAACTTGAGCAAGTTGTGCATTGAGACCGCTGTGCAATGAGTCAGTTGTGTAATGAGCCAACCGTGCAATGAGCAATCAGTGCAACAAGTTAACTTGAGCAAGTTGTGCAATGAGTCAGCTGTGTAATGAGCAAACTGTGCAGTGAGCAATCATGCAACAAGTTAACTTGAGCAAGTTGTGCAATGAGACTGCTGTGCAATGAATCAGTTGTGTAATGAGCCAACTGTGCAATGAGCGATCCGTGAAACAAGTTAACTTGAGCAAGTTGTGCAATGAGACCGCTGTGCAATGAGTCAGTTGGGTAATGAGCCAACTGTGCAACAAGCAATCCATGCAACAAGTTAACTTGAACATGTTGTGCAATGAGACCACTGTGCAATGTCACTTGTGTAATGAGCCAACTGTGCAATGAACGATCCGTGCAACAAGTTAACTTGAGCAAGTTGTGCAATGAGACCGCTGTGCAATGAGTCAGTTGGGTAATGAGCCAACTGTGCAACAAGCAATCCATGCAACAAGTTAACTTAAGCAAGCTGTACAATGAGACCACTGTGCAATGAGTCAGCTGTGCAATGAGCCAAATGTGCAACAAACAAACTGTACAACAAGTTAAGTTGAGCAAACTGTGCAATGAGCAAACTGTGCAATAAGCAAGCTCTGCAATGAGCAAGCTGTGCAATGAGCCAACTGTGCAACGAGCACTGCAATGAGCCAACTGTGCAATTAGCAAACTGTACAATTAGCAAACCATTCGCAGATGCAATAGGCTAGAACAGGCAGGGGCCAACTTTGGCCCTCCAGGTGTTTAGGACCAGCTGTTAGGAATTGTGGGAGTTGAAGTCCAAAACACCTGGGTATTGCACATATAGAAAGACGGCTGAGCGGTGTGTCCCTAAAACGTGTCTTTATTTCTTTTCCCAGTTCTGGAAATCCTGGGCCTGATCCATAAGCGGGACCTGCTGGTGGCCGACGAGCACATCATCGAGCTGGAAGCCGAGTGCGAAGTGGCGGACGCGCATCCGCCGACCCCGGAGGGCGAGAGTAGTAAGGACGACAGCCGCAAGGCCAAGGACGTGTCCTTGCTCTACGAAGCCCTGCTGAAGGAGCTGTGGTCAGTGCTGGCCGAGTCCTTGGCCTCCAAAAGCGCCCTGGCGCCCTTGGAGATGATGGTGCGGGTCATCGACCAGGAGGAAGAGGTGGACCGCAAGTGGACGGAGGCCCGAGCTGGCCGTGGTGGAGGAGGAGGGCGGCCGCGGGCTATGCGCCGGTGCTGGGCAGAAGCGGTGGGCGAGCTGGTCCAGCAGCGGTTGAGCCGGTGCCTGGAAAACCAAGGCCGCCCGGTCGGAGCCCTGGCCGCCCAGATGGACCGCCTGGCCAAGGCCGCCCTGGAGGACCTCTGCACGGTCAAGTTCCACCTCCTGCACGCCTACCCCAAGGACTACCAGGCGTTTGGGGTCTACCTCTGCGGCTACCACCGGGGGCTGGCCCTCCACTTGGCCCAAGCCGTCCAGAAGAGCCTGACCGTTTCCGAGCTCTACTTCGTGCTCGACTGGAACAGCAACATCTACCAAAGGTAAGGTCATCCAACCCGGCCCCTTTGGCCAGGCAAGGTCATCCAGTCCAGCCTTGTTGTAGTTTGGATTCCTGGAGTTGGAATCCAGGAGGTGTAATTTGGACTATGAGTCATAATGTAGAAGGACACCATCTGATCCCTCCCAACAGATGGCCATCCAGCCTCTGTTTAGAGACTTCTATAGAATTCCAGAGTTGGAAGAGAAGTCCAAAGGCCATCCAGTCCAATCCTTTCAGTCAGGCAGGAAGAGACCATTCAATTCCCCCCGACAGATGGCCACCCAGACTATGTTTGAGTCATAATGCAGAAGGACACCATCTGATCTCTCCCGACAGATGGCCATCCAGCCTCTGTTTAAAGACTTCCATGGAATTCCAGAGTTGGAAGAGAAGACCAAAGGCCATCCAGTCCAATCCTTTCAGCCAGGCAGGAAAAGACAATTTGATTTCTCCCAACAGATGGCCACCCAGACTATGTTTGAGTCATAATGCAGAAGGACACCATCTGATCTCTCCCAACAGATGGCCATCCAACCTATGTTTAAAGACTTCCATAGAATTCCAGAGTTGGAAGAGAAGTTCAAAGGCCATCCAGTCTAACCCCTTTCAGCCAGGCAGGAAGAGACCATTCAATTCCTCCTGACAGATGGCCACCCAGACTATGTTTGAGTCATAATGCAGAGGACACCATCTGATCTCTCCCAACAGATGGCCATCCAACCTATGTTTAGAGACTTCCATAGAATCCTAAGCTTGGAAGAGACCCCAAAGGCCATCCAGTCCAACCCCCTTCTTCCATCCGGGAAGAAACCATCCGATCCCTCCCAACAGATGGCCATCTAGTCTTTGTTGAATCATAGAATCTTAAGATTGGACGAGACCCCAAAGGCCATCCAGTCCAACCCCCTTCTTCCAACCAGGAAGAAGCCATCTGATCCCTCCCAACAGATGGTCATCAAGACTCTGTTGAATCATAGAATCCTAAGGTTGGAAGAGACCCAAAGGCCATCCAGTCCAACCCGCTTTTTCCAACCAGGAATAAACCATCCGATCCCTCCCAACAGATGGCCATCTAGCCTCTGTTGAATCATAGAATCCTAAGGTTGGAAGAGACCCAAGGGCCATCCAGTTCAACCCCCTTTCTCCAGCCAGGAAGAAACCATCCAATCCCTCCCAACAGATGGCCATCTAGTCTCTGCTGAATCATAGAATCCTAAGGTTGGAAGAGACTCCAAAGGCCATCCAGTCCAACCCCCTTTTTCCAACCAGGAATAAACCATCCAATCTCTCCCAACAGATGGCCATCTAGTCTCTGTTGAATCACAGAATCCTAAGGTTGGAAGAGACTCCAAAGGCCATCCAGTGCAACCCCCTTCTTCCAACCAGGAATAAACAATCCAATCCCTCCCAACAGATGGTCATCTAGAATAATAGAATCCTAAGGTTCTAAGACCCCAAGGGCCATCCAGTCCATCCCAGGTCAGGAACACACCATCCGATCCCTCCCAACAGATGGCCATCCAGCCTCTGCTTATCAACCTCTTTGCTTTTGATCCCTGCAGAGAGGTTTTAGGTCGAGCCGAAATCTCGTCGCTCGTGAAGGGCCACGATCTGGGTCCACTGCTGCCTCCCGAGACCCAGTTCGAATTGGAGGAGGAGTGCATCGCCAAGGTCAAGGTGAGCGCAAAGACCAAGCGTAAGGCTTTGAGCATTTCTTGATTCATGTATATATATTGCATGGAATCGTAAGATAAGGAATTGCTTCCTCTTTGCATTGGGAAAAACCCCTAAAGTCCTTTTCTTTGTTCTTGTTTACACTCAGGACAAGATCATTGACGACATGCACCAAGCGCTGGAGAAGGAAGAAGAGACGTGGGCGCAAGAAAGCGAGGGAGACGGTGTCCAGTTTGGCCTCTCCAGCAAAGCCATCATGGTACGGCCAATACAATGTTAGGCTGTATCCATAGGATTCTATAGGTCACATCCTAGGGATGCATAAGGAAGAGGGAGAAGCCGGGAGATTTTAATATCAGTATCAATAATACAATCAAGTCGATATTTGTTTACAAAATCACAAGTCAGACACTTGCCAAGCGTCTAGGACTGTGTGATGTATTTATTGTTGTTGTTGTTGACACAAAAGCACAGTATGTCACAGCAAACGAGATCTATATGTTGCGTTTCACATCACAAAATCACAAGTCAGACACTTCCCAAGTGTCTAGGACTGTGTGATGTATTTATTATTATTATTATTATTATTATTATTATTATTATTATTGACACAAAAGCATTGTCTGTCACAGCAAATGATATTTATATGCTGGAGTTCGTATCACAAAATCACAAGTTGAACACATCCCAAGCATTTAGGAACGTGTGATGTATTTATTATTATTATTATTATTATTATTATTGACACAAAAACACAGTACATCACAGCAAACGAGATCTTTATGCTGTATTTCGTAACACAAAATCACAAGTTGAACCCTTCCCAAGCGTCTAGGACTGTGTGATGTATTTTCGAATGATGCGATCTTTCCTCCCTCCCTCCCTCCCTCCCTCCCCTCTTTCACTTTTTTATTTCCTTCTCTTCTTCCTTCTTTCTTTCCTTCTCTCCTTCCCTCCTTCTTTCCCTCTTTCTCTCCTTCCTTCTCTCTTTCTTTCTTTCCATCTTTCTCTCCTTCCCTCCTTTCCCTCTTTCACTCCCACTTTCTCTCCTTCCTTCCTTCCTTCCTTCCTTCCTTCCTTCCTTCCTTCCTTCCTTCCTTCCTTCCTTCTCTACCCTTCTTTATTTCCTTCCTTCTCTCCTTCCCTCCTTTTTCCCTCTTTCTGTCCCACCTTCTCTCCTTCCTTCTCTATCTTTCTTTCTTTCCTTCTTTCTCTCCTTCCCTCCTTCTTTCCCTCTTTCTATCCCACCTTCTCTCCTTCCTTCCTTCTCTACCCTTCTTTCTTTCCTTCTTTCTCTCCTTCCCTCCTTCTTTCCCTCTTTCTCTCCCTCCTTCTCTCTTTCCTTCCTTCTCTACCCTTCTTTCCTTCTCTCCTTCCCTCTTTTTTTCCCTCTTTCACTCCCACTTTCCTTCCTTCTCTACCCTTCTTTCTTTCCTTCCTTCTCTCCTTCCCTCTTTCTTTCTCTCTTTCTCTCCCACTTTCTCTCCTTCCTTCCTTCTCTACCCTTCTTTCTTTCCTTCCTTCTCTCCTTCCCTCCTTCTTTCCCTCCTTCTCTCCTTCCTTCCCCCTTCTTTCCCCCTTTCTGTGTATGTGTTTTGTATGTGTATTAGCATATATATGTGTGTGTGTATATATATATGTGGTTTTGCACATTCTTTGTATTTTTTGTTTTTTAAGTCCCTTCTGCTGTGTTTTCCAGCATTTTTATGAGTGATGGTCACTCATTGGCCTGAGAGGTGTCTTGTGTCCAAATTTTGCATCCATTCGTCCAGTGGTTTTTGAGTTATGTTAATCCCACAAACGAACATTACCTTTTTATTTATATAGATAAGTAAAAAGCATCTAAGTAAAAAGCACTTTAAAGGAATAGGTAAATCCAATTAGGTAAGAAGATAAGCATGAACATTGTAATGCATTTTCTATTTTTGTCTTTTTACGTCCCTTCCGCTGTGTTTTTCAGTGTTTTTATGAGTGATGGTCACTCGTTGGCCTGTTAGGTGCCTTGTGTCCGAATGGTGTCAATTCGTTCAGTGGTTTTTGAGTCAATCCCACAAATGAACATTACATTTTTATTTCTATAGATATGGTTTTTATATATATGCTAAATGTTTTCAATTGTATTTTTATGTCTGTTGGGGCATCGAATTGTTGCTGACCGTAAACCACCCTGCGTCGCCTTCGGGCTGAGAAAGACGGTATACAAATACAGTAAATAAACAAATACGTATTATTTTCAGGTCTTAAAGGCTCATGCAGACAAAGCCCCCCAAATCACAGAAGATTTTGGCAGAAGGATGGCTTATTGTTGCCTTACCAGCCTGGCAGAGTTCTTGCAAAGGTATTTATCAATTTATCAATGGGTGCATCTACACCAGTTTTTTGTTCCTACTTTATAACTGTAATTTTGCTCCTGTTATGAACTGTAATGTAAATATCTGACTTGCAGGATATATTTTCATTCACTGGACCCAATTTGGCACAAATACCCGATACGCCCACATTTGAATACTGGTGGGGTTGGGGGGGGGGGAGATTGATTTTGTCGTTTGGGAGTTGTAGTTGCTGGGATTTATAGATCACCTACAATCAAAGAGCATTCTGAACTCCAGCAATGATGGAATTGAATCTATCTTGGCACACAGAACTACCCTGCCCAACAGAAAATATTGGAAGGGTTTGGTGGGCATTGACCTTGAGTTTGGGAGTTGTAGTTCACCTACATCCAGAGAGCACTGTGGACTCAAACAATCATGGATCTGGACCAAACTTCGCCTGAATACTCAATATGGCCAAATGTGAACACTGGTGGAGTTTGGGGAAAATAGACCTTGACATTTGGGAGTTGTAGTTGCTGAGATTTATAGTTCACCTACAATCAAAGAGCATTCTGAACTCCACTAACAATAGAATATAACCAGTCTTGGCACACAGAATTTCCATGACCAACAGAAAATACAAGAAGGGTTTGGTGGGCATTGACCTTGAGTTTTGGAGTTGTAGTTTACCTGCATCCAGAGAGCACTGTGGATTTAAACAATGATAGAGCTGGGCCAAACTTGGCACAAATACTCAATATGCCCAAATGTAAACCCTGGTGGAGTTTGGGGAAAATAGACCTTGACATTTGGGAGTTGTTGTTGCTGGGATTTATAGTTCACCTACAATCAAAGAGCATTCTGAACTCCACCAACGATAGAATTGAGCCAAACTTCCCACACAGAACCCTCATCACCAATAGAAAATACTGTGTTTTCTGATGGTCTTTGGCGACCCCTCTGACACCCCCTCATGACCTCCTCAGGGGTCCCGACCCCCAGGTTGAGAAACGCTGATCTACACCCTGTAACAAATGCAGTTTGATACCTGGCCTTCCTCTTTTTCCTCCCTTAGTTTCCAAAGGAAGGTGGAGATTTTCCATGAGCAGCAAGTGGAGAACGCCCTGACGCCCGACTGCTACATCAGCCGGACCATCATGCTGGTCAACTGCTGCCCAGCCTTCAGGTGAGCGTCCATCAGGTAGCCCATAGCAATGCATGACTTCTATGGAATTCTGGGAATTGTAGTTTTGCAAGGCCTCCAGCCTTCTCTGCCCAAAACTACAACTCCCAGGATTCCATCTGCGCCAGGACAGTTAAAGCAGTGCCAAACATACATTCATTGGACAGTGTAGATGTACCCAAAGTGAACACTCAATAAGGAATTACAACACAGATTCGTTGTGTTTCTAGGAGACACATTGAAAGCGGAGATCTGTGGACACATCTACACTGTAGAACTAATGCCATTCGGTATCACTTTAACAAGACTGTGAATCCCAGGAGTTGTAGTTTTGATTCCGGGAGTTGTAGCATGGATTCTGGGAGTTGTCGTTTGGGTTCTGGGAGGAGTAGTTTGGATTCTGGGTGTTGTAGCTAGGATTCTGGGAGGAGTAGTTTGTATTCCGGGAGTTGTAGTTTGTATTCCGAGAATTGTCGTTTGGATTCCAGGAGTTGTTGTTTGGATACTGGGAGTCGTCATTTGGATTCTGGGAGTTGTAGTTTGAATTCTGGGAGTTGTCGTTTGGATTCTGGGAGTTGTCATTTGGATTCCGGGAGTTTTACTTTGCACTCCAGGAGTTGTAGTTTGGATTCTGGAAGTTGTACTTTGGATTCTAGGGAGGTATAGTTTCGATTCCGGGAATTATAATTTGGATTTCGGGAATTGTAATTTGGATTCTGGGTATTGTAGTTTGGATTCTGGGAGTTATAGTTTGGATTCCAGTTGTTGTTTGACTTCCAGGGAGGTATTGTTTGGATTCTGGGAGTTGTCATTTGGATTCCAGGAGTTGTAGTGTGGTTTCTGGGAGTTATAGTTTAGATTCTGGGAGTTGTCGTTTGGATTCCGGGAGTTTTACTTTGCATTCCAGGAGTTGTAGTTTGGATTCTTATAGTTGTACTTTGGATTCCAGTGAGGTATAGTTTGGATTCTGGGAATTGTCGTTTGGATTCCGGGAATTGTAATTTGGATTCTGGGTATTGTCGTTTGGATTCTGGGAGTTGTAGCTTGGTTTCTGGGAGTTACAGTTTGGATTCCAGGAGTTGTTGCTTGACTTCCAAGGAGGTATTGTTTGGATTCTGGGAGTTGTGGTTTGGATTCCAGGAATCGTAGTTCGGATTCTGGGAATTGTTGTTTGGATTCTGGGTATTGTAGTTTGGATTCTGGGAGATGTAGTTTGGATTCTGGATATTGTAGTTTGGATTCTGGGAGATGTAGTTTGTATTCTGGGAGTTGTAATGTAGACTCTGAGTCATCAAACTTACTAGAGTCTGTTGTAAAGGGTCTTTGGGTGCATCTATATTGTAGAATTAACACAATTTGGCCCCACCTGAACTGCAAAGGCTCAATGCTATGGGATGCTGGGATTTGAAGGTTTTGCAAAACTACAACTCCCAGGATATTCTGACATTTGCTATCTCTTTGCCTGTGATCCTATTGACAAATGTGTCTCCATTTAGGGACTATGCTGACCGCTTGGCGAGGGTCAGCGGTCCAGAGAGCGAAGCCGGACAGCGCCAGGCCAACACTGCCCTGGACAGAGTGACCCGGCTCTGCAACCGAGTGCTGGCCGCTCACCTCTTTCAAGAACTCAAGGTAATGGGTCCGGAGATGCCCAGTTGCTGGGATTTATAGTTCACTTACAATCAAAGAGCATTCTGAACCCCACCAACAATGGAATTGAACCATACTTGGCACACAGTTCTCCCATGACCAACAGAAAATACTGGAAGGGCTTGGTGGGCAGTGTCCTTTGGTTTGGGAGTTGTAGTTCACCTATATCCAGAGATCACTGTGGACTCAAACAATGATGGATCTGGACCAAACTCTACACGAATACTCAATGTACCCAAATGTGAACTCTGGTGGAGTTTGGGGGAAATAGAATCATGACATTCGGGAGTTGTAGTTGCTGGGATTTATAGTTCACCTACAATCACAGAGCATTCTGAACTCCATCAACAATAGAATTGAACCAAACTTGGCACACAGAACTTCCACGACTGACAGAAAATACTGGAAGGATTTGGTTGTCATTGACCTTGTGTTTGGGAGTTGTAGTTCACTGTGCACTGCGGACTCAAGCAATGATGGATCTGGACCAACCTTGGCAGGAATACTCAATATGCCCAAATGTGAACACTGGTGGAGTTTGGGGAAAATAGACATTTGGGAGTTGTAGTTGCTGGGATTTATAGTTCACCTTCAATCAAAGAGCTTCTGAACTCCACCAACAATAGAATTGAACCGAACTTGGCACACAGAACTTCCACGACCGACAGAAGATACTACAAGGGTTTGATGGTCACTGACCTTGAGTTTGGGAGTTGTAGTTCACTGTGCACTGTGGATTCAAGCAATGATGGATTTGGACCAAACTTGGCAGGAATACTCAATGTGCCCAAATGTGAACACTGGTGGAGTTTGGGGTAGAAATAGACATTTGGGAGTTGTAGTTGCTGGGATTTATAGTTCACCTACAATCAAACCCCTATGAACAACAGAAAATACTGTGTTTTCTGATGGTTTTTGGTGACCCCTCTGACACCCCGTCGCGGCCCCTCCAGGGGTCTCGACCCACAGGTTGAGAAATGCTGGATTAAATAGAGATAGATAAGTAGATAAATCAATCAGGAGGACTGCTGGGAGGTAGATAGATGGATCAGGAGGACTCTGGGAGTTGCAGTCCAGGGAATAGGTAGAGCTTTTGACGCAGCATCTGTCGCCTTCTCGTGCTTCTCATTCCCGCATCAATTTTTTGTTTTGTTTCCTAGCCTTACTTCCACAAACTGATGAAGAGGAAGTGGCTCAACAACTCGGAGGCCTTTCCGACCATCATGGCGCTCCTCCGGGAACATGCCCAGAAGCTGAGCAAGATGAAGCTGGAGCCCTACCAGGTACGATGCGCCAAGGAAGGCATTTCCTCCCATGCCCTTGAGACAATATTGATTTATTTATTTCAAGCATTTATACCCTAAATCAACCAGAGGCTCCCAGAAGACATCACAGCTCTGTTTCACCATTGCCTCACCACCAGCTATTTTCAGTGGGACAATGAATTCTACGAACAGAAAGATGGAGTAGCCATGGGGAACCCTCTCAGCCCGGTCATAGCTAACTTCTACATGGAACACTTTGAAAAACAAGCAACAAAAAAGCCCAGATATGTGGATGACACCTTCACCATTTGGAGCCATGGAGAAGAAGAACTCAACAGGTTCCTGGACCATCTGAACAGCATCCACCCAAACATCCAGTTCACCATGGAAAAAGAAAAGGAAGGAAGACGGCCTTTTCTTGATGTCCTAGTCATCCGCAAACCAGATCAACAATTGGGTCACACCATCTCCAGAAAACCCACACACACAGATAGATATCTACATCTAAACTCCAACCATCCCCCAAGTCAAAAAAGAAGCCCCATTAAAGCCTTGGCAGACCGTGCAAAAAGAATCTGCGAAGCCCACCTCCTCCAAGATGAACTGAACCACCTCAACTGGGCTCTCCAGGCCAATGGAGACTCCACCTCAGACATCAGAAGAGCTGCAAGACAACCGAGAAGAAGCCCAAGACCAAGACCCACCCAGAGGGAAAGTGTTCTTGCCAGACATCAAGGGAACCACTGACCACATTGGGAAGCTGATGAGGAAACACAACATACAAACTATCTCCAGACCCACCAAGAAAATCCAACCAATGCTTTGTTCAGCAAAGGACAAGAGGGATCCTCTCACTTCTGCAGGAGTCTACCGTGTACCATGCAGCTGTGGACAAGTCTACATAGGGACCACCAAACGCAGCAGCAACATTGCCCAACACATGAATCAAGGAACATGGAAGGCACTGCAGACTACTTCAACCAGAGAAGTCAGCCATAGAAGAGCACCTGAGGAACCAACCTGGACACAGAATATTATTATTTGAGAACACAGAAATGCTGGACCACTCCCACAACCACCATGTCAGACGACACAGAGAAGCCATTGAAATCCACAAGCATGCGGACAATTTCAACAGAAAGGAAGAAACCATGAAAATTGAACAAAATCTGGCTACCAGTATTAAAAAACTCTAAAATTACAACAGCACAACAACAGAGAGTAAACAATCAGGCACATCAAATCACTCTCAATGAAAGATTCCCCCCAGGCACTTCCAAGCCATTATATGATAATCAAGGTGGTCAGTTGAAACATTCACACCTAGCTCCAGCAGAGAAGAGTCCTTTGCCCCACCCTGGTCATTCCACAGATATATAAACCCCTTTTTCCTACTTCCAACAGACCTCACTACCTCTGAGGATGCTTGCCATAGATACAGGCGAAACGTCAGGAGAGAATGCCTCTAGAACATGGCCATATAGCCCGGAAAAACCTACAACAACCCAGTGGAGGCATTACTTTTCATTCAACCCTCGTATTTTCATTCACTGGACCAAATTTGGCACAAATACCTGATACGCCCCAAATTGGAATACTGGTGGGGTGGGGGCTTGATTTTGTCTTTTGGGAGTTGTAGTTGCTGGGATTTATAGTTCACCTACAATCAAAGAGCATTCTGAACCCTACCGACAATAGAAATGGGCACATTCCAAGGATTATTTCTGTGTTGGATTTATTAAAATATTGCCATCTAAACCCAAGTAATGAAGGTGGAGGCATTACTTTTCAGTCAACCCTTATAGCCACAAAAACAAAGTTTCTGGAGGAGAACAAGACATTTCAAAGCAAGGGCTGCACAATTATACAGGAAATAACACTTTCAAACCAAGAAAGAAACTCAAATTTGGTGATATGGGACCGATGTTAGTGGATTTGGGGTTTGGTTGTGCTTTGCCGCATGCATTGCGTATTATCCAACCTGGCTGTTTCTTTGGGATCAGATGCTGGTGAAGGAGGTCCACCGGCGGGTGCTGATCGAGTACATCCGGCCCCTGATGCGCGTCCGGCTCATTTGCACCTCTTCCAAGATGCGGGCCAAGGTGGCCAACAAGCTGCGCAGCGAAGCCAAGCAGCTGCAGGAATTCTTCATCCAGCTGGTGAGTTGGGGAACCTGTTGCTTTTGTGGAGGGATGATGGGAGTTGCAGTCCAAAAATTGCACTTTCCTCCATGCTTTGGAAGTTCCACTTGAAGAGAAAGGGACCAAAGTCAGAATGCATAGGGAGTGATGGGTGTTGCAAATGCATAGGGGATGATGGGCACTGCAGTCCAAAAGGGATCCTATTCCCACATTCTGGAAGATCTAACTTGGACCCTATTCCCACGTAACTTGCAGCATTTTGGGAAAAAGGGATCAAGGCTAGTATATATGGGGGATGATGGGAGTGGCGGAATCTATAGGGGATGGTGGGAGATGCAGAATATATAGGAGATGATGGGAGTTGCAGTCAAAAAATTACTTTTCTCTCCAATGTTGTGGGAATTCTCATTTGCAGCCATTGGGAGAAAAAGACCAAGGCTAGAATATATGGGGGATGATGGGAGATGCAGAATATATAGGAGATGATGGGAGTTGCAGTCAAAAAATTACTTTTTTTCTCAATGCTGTGGAAGGTGTAGCTGCAGCATTTTGGGGTGGGGGGTGGGGAGTGGGGTAAGATCAAATCCAGAATATATAGGGAATGATGGGAACTACAGTCCCAAAAGGTACTTTTCACTCCCATATTGTGGGAATTCTCACTTGCAGCCATTGGGAGAAAAGGACCAAGGCTAGAATATATGGGGAATGATGGGAGTTGCAGAATCTATAGGGGATGATGGGAGCTGCAGTCCAAAAAGGCCCATCCAAGTCCTAACCAGGCCTGGCCCTGCTGCGTAAAATATTTCCTTTCCGATGCAGTTGCCCGAAGGCCGTTTTCGTTGCTGTTATTTTTGTCCGTCTCGGGAGGGGCATCCAAGGCAGCTTTCCAAAATGGAAACCACAAAAACAAAATAACAAAGGCATTGTTATTATTTATACAATCTATCTATATATATATATTGTATCTAAATATAAATACACACAGAAGCAAAGGGCAAAAAGTAGCGGCACGATGCAACGTTTGGAAAGACACCCGCAACAGTTGCAAATGCAGAAGTTGCGGGCATTGCTGGATTGCAAGTCCCATTATCTGCACCAGGACCTTGCCATAAACAAACATTGATTGCAGAGAAGCCGAGGAAGAAGCATTGTGGGGCTTTTGTTTTCTTTGCCTCCCTTGCAGGAGTCCACTTCGTCCTGGCTGGATTCGGTGGTGCCGCACCTGGCCGGGATCATTGAGCTGGAGGACATGCCGGCCATCCAGATGGAAGTGGGCTTCTTGGCCAGAGAATTCCCCGACGTCCAGTAAGCGGGAATCCCTTTGCTTAATGGGGATTGCTGGGATATATTGGGCTACGCTTGCATTTGCAAAACAGCAACCCTGTTGTTGGGAACGAATGCATGTTCAAGATCTGTCTATCTATCTGTCTGGACTCTGGAACCCATCAGCCACAGTCAAGTTGGAAGCGATGGGAGCTGTAGTCTGACAGCTGGTGCATATATCACAGGCATGGGCAAACTTCAGCCCTCCAGGTGTTTAGATTTCAACTCTCGCAAAGTGTTGTCAAGCCTCAATTCATTCTAACAGTGTAGATGCACCTGTTAGTCACTTATAGAAAGTAAGAAAACAAAGAATAGCGAATAGAGTTTGTGTGTGTGTATGGGGGGGGGGGGATACAGAATATCCTCCAAGGGTCCCAATTAATTATCTGCAATCCCACTCCCCCCTCCAGCGGATTTGTCAAATGTCCCGGTTTCTCTCTTCTCTTCCTCTCCCTTTGTCTTCAGCTTCCTTCAATTGCTGCAAACTGTGTTCAGATTGCACAATTACAAATGGCAGTATTGCAAATTGAGCAATTGCAAAATTGTACTTGCATGATGCTTGCTTCGATTGCTGCAAACGTAGTTCAAATTGCACAATTACGAATTGCAATATTGCACGATTTTAAACTGCACGATTGCAAACTGCACAACTGAAAAATTGCACATTGCATGATGCTTACTTCAATTGCTGCAAACATAGTTCAAATTGCACAATTACAAATTGCAATATTTCACTATTGCAGATTGCATGATTGCACAATTGCAAGCTGCACGATTGCAAAATTGCACATTGCATATGCTTACTTCGATTGCTGCAAATGTAGTTCAAATTGCACAATTACAAATTGCAATTTTGCACAATTGCAAACTGCACAATTGCAAAATTGCACCCTGCACGATTGCAAACTGCACTGTTATAGGTTGCACAATTTGCAATATTTCACAATTGCAAAACTGCAAATCTCAGCTCTTCCCAATGGTCTCACATTGGCCAGTCACAGAAATACTGGAAGACACAGATTTGCATGCTATGGGGAGCATTGTTTGCAAGTCTTTCTAAGCATAGGGCAATGCGATTGCAAAACTGCAGATTACGAATTGCAAAATTGCACAGTTGCAATACTGCACATTGCAAAACTGCAAATCTCAGCTCTTCCTAATGGCCTCACATTGGCCAGTCTCCGAAATATTGGAAGGCACAGACTTGCATGCTATGGGGAGCATTGTTTGCAAGTCTTTCTAAGCATAGAGCAATGCGATTTCAAAACTGCACATTACGAATTGCAAAATTTCACATTTCACAGTTGCAAAATTGCACAAATTGCAATATTTGCACAATTGCAAAAATGCAAATCTCAGCTCTTCCTAATGGCCTCACATTGGCCAGTCCCAGAAATACTGGAAGGCACAGACTTGCATGCTATGGGGAGCATTGTTTGCAAGTCTTTCTAAGCATAGGGCAACACGATTGCAAAACTACACATTACAAATTGCAAAACTGCACATTGCACAGCATGATTGCAAATTGGCACATTGCACAGTTGCAAAATTGCACAAATTTCAATATTGCACAGTTGCAAAACTGCAAATCTCAGCTCTTCCCAATGGCCTCACATTGGTCAGTTTCCGAAATATTGGAAGGCACGGACTTGCATGCTATGGGGAGCATTGTTCGCAAGTCTTTCTAAGCATAGAGCAACACGATTGCAAAACTGCACATTGCACAGTTGCAAAATAGCAATATTGCACAATTGCAAAACTGCAAATCTCAGCTCTTCCCAATGGTCTCACATTGACCAGTCCCAGAAATATTGGAAGGCCCAGACTTGCATACTATGGGAAGCATTGTTTGAAAATCTTTCTAAGCATAGGGCAATGCGATTGCAAAACTGCACATTGCACAGTTGCAAAATTGCAATATTGCACATTGCAAAACTGCAAATCTCATATTGGAAGGCACAGACTTGCATGCTAGTCTAGGGCAGAGCATTTGCAAGAAATGCATGGGAGGAAAACCAAAACAAAATGCAGCTTGTAGCAAGCATGGGTGAGTTTGGAGATTTGCAAATTGCTTTTCTTGACGGGGAGAATTTGCACTCCTGGGGACCATTCTTCTCCATCCTTGCAGCAATATATATATTATGACAGCGAGTTATAAATACGCTCCGATTCCATGCCAGGTCTGCCAGCGTCACTTATCAGCCCGTTCTGTTTGTTTTCGTTTCCATCTTCCTGCTTATTGCATCCGAAGGGATTGTTTCGGAGGCGACAGATTGCCCCGCTAAGTGTGGCTGACGGACGTTTCCTGTTTGATCTGGACCCTTTCTGGGGCTGTTGTTCCTTGCACAAAAAAGACAAGAGAGAGACGTCCATTAAGAGCAAAACAAGCTGAGACGGGAAGCGGGCTTGGGTTGCGGCTTCCTGCCGGACGGGCATATTACACTGGCGGGACACAACACCGCCATCCATTCTGGGTTGTGTTAAGCAATGCGTTGACACAGATCCATAAATACATGCAAACACAAACAACCTTGGAGGGAACAATCATAATTTAGGAATGTCGGAAAGGGGGGAGGTAAAGGTTGGGCACCTCATATCCGAAATGGTGTGTTAGAAAGGCGTCCACGTTGCACAATTAATGCAGTTTGGAACCATTTTCAAGGGGTCCCTTTTCGAAGAAATCCACAGAATCCAATTGGTTCATGTAAGACACCATTTATTCAAGCTGATCAACATGAGACGGACAGAAGCACGTCTGTTTGTGCTTTCAAAGACCTCCTCCTCTGTTTCTGCTGACCTTTATGCTCAAGTAATAGGTCATGGAAAGTACTCTCTTTCCAGCCCCCCTCCCTTGACCTTTTGATGGAAAGTACCTTCTTGTACCTGCAGACTTTGCACTTAACCACAACCTTTGGCTTAACCACAACCCAACTTCCTATGTAAGCTCAAACTTTGTATGACCTCTACATGTCACATCTTGTTTCTTAAAAACATTGTCTTCCGTGCTGCTAATTTCATTTAAAGCCCCTTGTTTAGCATTTGCAAATTTCACTCAAAGACCCTTTCCTAAAGACCATTTTAAAACTCCGGGAGTTGCAGTTTGGCAGGAAAACCTCAAGAGTGGTGTTGCAAGGGCTCCCTTGACACCATGGGAGCAGAGTAATGAGTTGCAAGTAATTAAGTCACTAGTAATGAGTTACAAGTAATTAAGTTCCATACAACTAGTTACTTCAGAAGGGATAACAAAGGTAATGACAGAGTCAAATTGGAAGAGTTACATTAAAGTGTAATGCGGTTTGAGCGTTGCTTTTGACTCTCATACCTTAATGCTGAGGAATCGTGGGAGTTATAGTTTGGTGAACCACAGCTTCCATTGGCATTTGGGAAACTGCAACTCCCTGGACCCCATAGCATGGAGCCAGGGCATTGAAAGTGGTGCCAAACTCCATTCGTCCTAGAGTTGAAATGCACCTAAAGGTAGTGAAAGACCTTGGGAAACTATACCTCCCAGGAACTTATAGCAGTGTGCCAGGGCACCGAAAGTGGTGCCAAACTCCATTTTAGCCTAGAGTTGTAGGGTACCCAAAGATGTTGAAAGGGCTTGGGAAACTACAACTTCCAGGAACTCTATAGTGTTAAGCGAGGGCATTGAAATACCTTGGGAAGCTATAACTTCCAAGAACCCCACAGCATTAAGACAGGTTATTGAAAGGACTTGCAAAATTACAACTCCCAGTACCCTATAACATTAACTTAGGGCGTTGAAAGACCTTGGGAAACTACAACTCCTAGGACCCTATAATATTAAGCCAGAGCATTGAAAGACCTTGAGAAACTATAATGCCCAGGAACCTCATAGAATTGAGCCAGGGCATCAAAAGACCTTGGGAAACTACAACTCCCATGACCCTATAGCATTAAGCCTGGGTGTTGAAAGACCTTGGGAAACTATAACTCCTAGGAACACTATAGAAATGAGCCAGGGCATTGAAAGACTGTGGGAATCTACAACTCAATGGACCCTATAGCATTAACCCATGGCAATGAAACACCTTAGGAAACTACAGCTCCCAGAACACTATAGCATTAAGCCAGGCCGTGAAAGACCTTGGGATACTACAACTCCCAGGATGCTATTGCATTGAGCCAAGTCATTGAAATACCTTGGGAACCCTATAATAACTCCCAGGAACCCCATAACAACAAAAACAACAACAACACTATAGCATTGAGCCATTACACTGAAAGATTTTGGGAAACGACATCTCTGAAAGACCTTGGGAAACTACATCTCCCATGGCTTCTTAGCATTGAGCCCTGGCAAAGTGCATTCCCTCTGCAGTGTGGATTCATTCACCTTTCCTCGAATTCATTTGCAAGCCCGAGGCAGGAAGTGTGTGTGCGCGTGGGGGCAAAACTGGATACCTTTCCACCTAAATTTTAGGGGCTTTCTTGTGCTGTATCTCCCTCCAAGGACCGGGCTTGGCCAAAATGGGAAGAGGAAGCCCAGGTCGAGGCCTAACCATGGGGGGAGAAGGTGCTTCGTGGGGGAAATCTAGGGCGAGCTGTGCCACCCTTCGCCAGCTTCTCCCCATTGTTTGGGGCTCCTCCGCAGGAAACCTGTGCGACGGATACGGGGCCGCTCATTAGCCGAGCTCTTCTTGGAAGAGCCAGTGGCGCAGGCCTCCGGTGCTGGGAAAAAGCACCGCAGAGGGGCCATTAGAACGATCCAGTCAGCGGCCATGCGCCTCCATGCGCTTCCTGAGGCACATGCCGACGCACACATGCGCCTCTCCGGCCGCAGGGCCAGTGATTGTGCGGGAACCGTGCCAGCTTCCTGGAGTTAACAAGACATCCGAAGCAGCAAGGCTTTAAATAAACTCCCCGTGCGCCAAGGGAATGGGGCACTTTCTCCCCTATGGCACCCCAAAACATTGCCAGAGGGGCAGGATGCCAGCTGTAAGCTCGGCCTATCAGATGGGCGCTCATAATGGGGTGCATTGGGTTGTATAGGTCGTAACTTAGGGTAATTTATTTATTTATTATTCATTTATTTACATCTTTTATATTCATTAGGCTTGGGTGATCCAGTTCGTTAATTTCGTTATTCATTATTGATTCGTATTTAAATTAGCTTACGATCCAATATCGAGCCATGCAGGAGTAGTGTGAGGAGTAATTAAGAAGCGAAACAATTTTTTTCCAATTTTCGTAATTATTTCGTAATTATTTTCGTATGTCTGGTGCATTATATTGTATATTATATTATATTACTATATTATATATTATATTACTATATTATTATTATATTATATTATAATTGTATATTATAATATAATATATATAATATATTATAATATAATAATATATAGGTTCTTGTGGGTTTTTTCAGGCTATATGGCCATGTTCTAGAGGCATTCTCTCCTGACGTTTCGCCTGCATCTATGGCAAGCATCCTCAGAGGTAGTGAGGTCTGTTGGAATTAGGACAATGGGTAATATATAATATAATATATAATAATAATATAATATACAATAATATAATATAATAATATTATAATATAATATACAACAATATAATATAATAATATAATAATATTATAATAGAAGTTCCCCCTGTCCCATTTGGAGGTTTTTTTTTAGCATATTGTGCAATCGCGTCCGGCATTAACGAATCGGTTCGTAATTTACGAAATTTTGAAATTTTGAAATCTTAAATTTCGGAAGTCCTCAGAATTTCGAAACGCTAGCGCACCCTAGAAACGAAATGAGTTTAGAACCAATTTTTTTCTTGATTGCCCAAGCCTAATATTAATCCCTTCTCACCCCGCAGGGGACTCAGGGCGGATTACAGTGTACACATATATGGCAAACATTCAATGCCAATTTTTGACATACAAACATATACACACATACACAGAGGCTATTTAACTTTTTCTGGCCGCCAGGGGAGCTGTCGCTTTCCTCGTCCATCTGCGAGGCTGATGAAGCACTTCCGCATTCCCCGCATGCTTCCCCGCTGGAATGCTTTGCTGGAGTCTTCTTTATGGCCTCATAAATTAGTTAATTTAGCCTCCCCACACTTTAAGGTGGTACCTAATTTTCCTACTTGACAGATGCAACTGTCTTTCGGGTTGCAAAGGTCGACAACAGGCTACACACAATTGGTTGGAAACCCACTCCAACCCGGGCTGACTTCGAACTCATGACCTTTTGGTCAGAGTGATCTTAATGCAGCTGACACTCAGCCAGCTGCGCCACAATCCCGGTGCCACAATTTGTGGCCAAAGCAGGCTGGCTGTTGCAAACAATGCTCTCCATAACATGCAAGTCTGTGCCTTCCAATATTTCTGGGACTGGCCAATGTGAGACCATTCATTAGGAAGAGACAAGATTGGTAGTTTTGCAATTGTGCCTTTTGCAATTTGTAATTATGCAATTCTGCAATTCTGCAATTTATTAGAGATGGATATAGATGAGAGTAATAGATGAGAGATAGATATATTATAGATAGATAGATAGATAGATAGATAGATAGATAGATAGATAGATAGATAGATAGATCAATAGCTATAGATGAGAGATAGCTGTAAGAGATAGTTAGATGATAGGAAATACCCATATATAGTTAAAGATTATGATGATAAATGAGAGATAGATATCTATAGATAGATAATAGATGAGTGATAGTTATAGATTAGCGTAATAGATGAGAGATAGAGATAGATAGATAGATAGATAGATAGATAGATAGATAGATAGATAGGATAAATAGATCAGTCACTTGATAGATACATAGGAGATAACTATAGATAAATATGAGATAACTATAGATAGATAACCGTATAGCTAGCTATAAAGAGCTAACGATAGATAATGCCAGTATAGCTATAGATTATGACAATAAATGAGAGATAAACAGATGAGAGGTAGATATCTATAGATAGATAATAGATGAAAGATAGTGATAGATAGATAGGTAGATAGATAGGAGATAGCTATAGATCGATAACTGTATAGCTAGCTCTAAGATAGATAACTAGCAATAGATAGATAGATAGATAGATAGATAGATAGATGATAGATAGATAGATAGATAGATAGATAGATAGATAGATAGATAGATAGATAGATACTGCTGGTATACAGCTATAGATTATGATGATAGATAAACAGATGAGAGGTAGATATCTATAGATAGATAACTGTATAGCTAGCTCTTAGATAGATAAGAGCTAGTGATAGATAGATAGATAGATAGATAGATAGATAGATAGATAGATAGATAGATAGATAGATAGATAGAGGCAGTATACAGCTATAGATTATGATGATAGATAAACAGATGAGATAGATAGATAGATAGATAGATAGATAGATAGATAGATAGATAGATAGATAGATAGATAGATAGAAGGTAGCTATAGATAAGAGATAGATATAGATAAATATGAAATAACTATAGATAGATAACTGTATAGCTATAGATAGATAGATAGATAGATAGATAGATAGATAGATAGATAGATAGATAGATAGATAGATAATGCCAGTATACAGCTATAGATTATGATGATAAACAGATGAGAGATAGATATCTATAGATAGTTAATAGATGAGAGATAGTGATAGATAGATAGATAGATAGATAGATAGATAGATAGATAGATAGATAGATAGATAGGAGGTAGCTATAGATAAGAGATAGATAGCTATAGATAAATATGAAATAACTATAGATAGGTATAGATAGCGATAGATAGATGATGCCTGTATACATTTAGATTATGATGATAGATAAACAGATGAGAGATAGATATCTATAGATAGATAATAGATGAGAAGTAGTGATAGGTAGATAGATAGATAGATCAGAGGTAGCCATAGATAAGAGATAGATAGCTATAGATAAATATGAAATAACTATAGTTAACTGTATACATAGCTATAGATAGATAGATAGATAGATAGATAGATAGATAGATAGATAGATAATGCCAGTATACAGCTATAGATTATGATGATAGATAAACAGATGAGAGATCGATATCTATAGATAGATAATAGATGAGAAGTAGTGATAGATAGATAGATAGATAGATAGATAGATAGATAGATAGATAGATAGATAGATAGAAAGATAGAGAGAGAGAGAGATAGATAGATCGATCGATCGATCGATAGGTAGGAGGTAGCTATAGATAAGAGATAGATAGCTATAGATAAATATGAAATAACTATAGATAGATAACTATATAGATAGCTATAGATAATGCCAGTATACATATAGATTATGATGAAAAATGAGAGATAAATAAACAGATGAGAGATAATTGATAGCTATAAATGAGAGATAATTATAGATAAGATAAATAGAAGAGAGATAATGATATTTATTTCTATCCCACCTTTTAATCTCTGGATTGAGATGCAAAGCAGCTCTACGAGAAGCAACAACACCACTTTTGAGCATGTGCGGAGAGCCCTTGCTCACACACACATCATGCAGCCTCAAATTATGTTACATACTGTTATGTCAAGTCACATTTTCTCAGCTTCCAAAGGTCCCTCCACCATCAGGGTAACCTAACCCATCTTTTGCATTTTTCAGGAAGACGCACGTCTCGGCCATCCTGGACGTGCGGGGTTTGCAGAACCAATCCCAGCGGCAGGACATCCTGGCGGTGATGGACGGGCTGGACGTCCCGGACGGAGAGGAAGCCCCTTCGCAGGAGCAGTCCTTCTTCTCGGAGATCCCCACCAGCGAGGTCTTCTGCGTCCGCGTCCAGCTGCACCGCATCTCCCACCTGGGCCTCTCCTGCCTCTCGCGGCTGCGCCCAAGGTCCAGGGTGCGCCAGTTGCGCCGACAGCACCAGCGGCAAAGGCGGAGGCCCAAGGAGGACGAGTCCCAAGCCTGAGAATCTGGAGATGCAGAGATTCCCAGTTCCCAAAGACCCTGCGACTGGGAGGACCAAGACTCTCCAATAAGACACACTCCAACTCTCCTCTCATATTTCTTCCAAAAGATGGGACAAATCTTCACTGCTCTTTTTGGAAACACACCGTCGTTTTGAAATATTTTTCTGGCCATATTTGGAAACTCACATATGCATTGGCCTTTGCTCCCCTATACAGAAATACGGTGCACCATTTTGCAATATTTTTCTGGCCATATGGAAGATTTGCACATAGCATTGGCCATTGCTTCCCTATAAAGAAATGTGCGTTGTGTATCTTTTTGGAAACACACCATCGTTTTGCAATATTTTTCTGGCCATATTGGGAACCTTGCATATGCATTGGCCTTTGCTCCCCTATAAAGAAATACAGTGCACCATTTTGCAATATATTTTCGCCATATGGAAGACTTGCGCATAGCATCGGCCATTGCTCCCCTATAAAGAAATATGGTGTATTGTTTATCTTTTTGGAAACACACCATCGTTTTGCAATATTTTCCTAGCCATATTGGAAAACTTGCACATGGTATTGAACTTTGTTCCCCTATAAAGAAATATGCTGCATCATTTTGCAATATGTTTCTGGCCATATTGGAAAACTAGCATATGGTGTTGGACATTGCTCCCCTATAAAGAAATACGGTGCAATGTTTTGCAATATATTTCTGGCCATATGGAAAACTTGCACATAGCATTAGCCATTGCTCTCCTGTAAAGAAATATGGTGCATTGTTTTGCAATATGTTTCTGGCCATATTGGAAAACTAGCATATGGTATTGGACATTGCTCCCCTATAAAGAAATATGGTGTATCATTTTGCAATATGTTTCTGGCCATATTGGAAAACTAGCATATGGTTTTGGACATTGCTCCCCTATAAAGAAATACAGTGCATTGTTTTGCAATATGTTTCTGGCCATATTGGAAAACTCGCATATAGTATTGGCCATTGCTCCCCTGTAAAGAAATATGGTGCATCATTTTGTAATATTTTTCTGGCCATATGGAAGACTTGCGCATAGCATTAGCCATTGTCCCCCTGTAAAGAAACATGGTGCATCGTTTTGCAATATTTTTCTGGCCATATTGGAAAACTCACATATAGTATTGGCCATTGCTCCCCTGTAAAGAAACGTGGTGCATCATTTTGTAATATTTTTCTGGCCATATGGAAGACTTGTGCATAGCATTAGCCATTGTCCCCCTGTAAAGAAACATGGTGCATCATTTTGTAATATTTTTCTGGCCATATGGAAGACTTGTGCATAGCATTAGCCATTGCTCCCCTGTAAAGAAACATGGTGCATCGTTTTGCAATATGTTTCTGGCCATATGGAAAACTTGCACATAGCATTGGCCATTGCTCCCCTATAAAGAAACGTGGTGCATCGTTTTGCAATATGTTTCTGGCCATATGGAAAACTTGCACATAGCATTGGCCATTGCTTCCCTATAAAGAAACGTGGTGCATCGTTTTGCAATATTTTTCTGGCCATATGGTAAACGAGCATATAGCGTTGCCCATTGCTCCTCTATAAAGAAAGTATGGTGCATCGTTCATGATCTTAGGGAGCATCTACAATCAAGCATGGGCAAACTTCAGCCTTCCCTACCACCTGATAGGAATTGTGGGAGTTGAAGTTGAAAACACTAAATAACTTATTAATATGATTATTACTAATAATATCAATAAGCCGAATACATTTAATAACTGCTGTGGCTCAATGCATTGGAACCTTGAGACTTGCAGTTTCACTAAGCGTCCCATTGACAATAATGCAGAATGAGTGCTGTTTGACATCACTTAATAACTGCTGTGGCTCAATGCATTGGAACCCTGGGTGTTGTAGTTTCACTAAGCATCCCATCGACCATAATGCAGAATGAAATGCTGTTTTGACACCACTTATTAACTCAGTGCATTGGAACCCTGGGAGTTGTAGCTTCACTAAGCATCTCATTGACAATGGTGTTGTTCAAGATTTATTATAATATTTTTTCCCCGGTGCCGGACACTGATGGACAACCCTTTCCTCGTAACAAGCTTTCTTGGACTTTATATAATAATAAGCTTGTTATATTATGCAATCCTACTATATCAATGCATGCAAGTGGAAACCCATTGGGTGAGTCACACTCTCTCAGCCTCAAAGGCAAACCCCTGCTGGACAAACCATACCATGAATAGAATAGCCATAAAAGGGGTTTTACCATTTCGGCGCCATTTCTGACGTCTTTTTCCTTCTTGTGGAACAGGAGAGACAAAGAAAAGGACAGACTCATAAGCAAAAAAAAAATATGCCTCTGTTTCTTTAAGAAATGTACTTTGCATAATTTTTTGGGGGAGAGGGGTGGGGAAGAAACCTATATCTGTAAATAAACAAGTAAATAAATAAATGCATATTAATTTAATCATGCTGTTTCCGGTGTTGCTTGATTTTATAGTTCCATATAGGGATCTATAGTTCCATGTAGGGATCTATAGTTCCATGTAGGGATTCATAGTTCCATGTAGGGTTTTATATTTCTATATAGGGATTTATAGTTCCATATAGGGATGTTTAGTTCCATGTAGGGATGTGTAGTTTCATGTTGGGATGTATACTTTCATGAAGGGATGTATAGTTCCATGTCAGAATTTATAGTTCCATGTCAGTATTTACAGTTTCATGTCAAGATGTACAGTTTCATGTAGGGATATATAGATCCATGTATGGATTTATAGTTTCATGTAGGGATTTATAGTTCCATGTAGGGATTTATAGTTCCATGTAGGGATTTATAGTTTCATTGAGAGATTTATAGTTTCATGGAGGGATTTATAATTCCCTGTAGGGATTTATCGTTTCATGGAGGGATTTGTAGTTCCATGTAGAGATTCATACTTCCATGTAGGGAGGGATTTATAGTTTCATGGAGGGATTTGTAGTTCCATGTAGGGATTCATACTTCCATGTAGGGATTTATAGTTTCATTGAGGGATTTGTAGCTCCATGTAGGGATTCATAGTTCCATGGAGGGATTTATAGTTTCATTGAGGGATTCGTAGTTTCATGGAGGGATTTGTAGTTCCATGTAGGGATTCATAGTTCCATGTAGGGATTTATAGTTTCATGGAGAGATTTTTAGTTTCATGGAGGGATTTATAGTTCCCTGTTGGGATGTATAATTCAATTTATAGTTCTCTCTCTCTCAGAGATATCTAATGCCATAGTTCAGGGAATGGCACCCCCCCCCCCCAAACTACAAATTTCAGGACTCTTTCCATTCCCTATACATTGCCCTCCCCTATAAGAGGACATATAGGGCATCTAGGCCGTGCCCTATATGTCCTTTATCCTCTATCAGCCTTCCAGCTCCCTAGAAATCTTAGATTCTTTAGAAGTTTCCTCCAAGGCACGGTACGGTGTTGGGAACAGCGTGTCTTAATGAGTTTCCCATTCCCACCCCTGTTTAATTGCTCTTCCTTCCTTTTTGGGCTCTGCTGGGAGATTGTGGCTTCCTCTCCAAAGGCTAGGCTGCGAGCCAAGCAGGGATGAAGGGCTAGTGGGGCTGGGGTGGGGTCTCCTTCCCCTTCCCCAAAAAGAGGCCCCAAATGCCTCCGTTTGGCAGAGAAAAGCCCTGTTACTCCTCCGCCTTCCTTTGTCTTGGCCGCTTCTAAAAGGTCCCGGTTTCCCTGCCCTCTTCCCCTTTTCTTCCTGTCACCCTGAGCTTGCTGCAAAAGGAGTCACAACAGATGGATGGATGGATGGATGGATGGATAGATAGATAGATAGATAGATAGATAGATAGATAGATAGATAGATAGATAGAGGGGTAGAGGGATGGATTAATGGAAGGATGGATGGATAGATGACTAGAGGGATGGATTCACTGATGGGTGGATAGAGGGAGGGATGGCTGGATGGATTGGTAGGTGGATAGATAAGATAGATAGATGGATGGATGGATGGAGATAGATAGATAGATAGATAGATAGATATGGATAGATAGATAGATAGATAGATAGATAGATAGATAGATAGATATGAGATGGATGGATTCTTAATGGGAGGTGGGAATGGATGGATGGATGGATGGATAATGGATGGATGGATGGATAGGATGGATTGATGGATGGATGGATGTAGATAGTAGATAAGAGACAGACAGACAGATAGATAGATAGATAGATAGATAGATAGATAGATAGATGAATAGAGGGAGATAGATAGATAGAGGGATGGATGAATGGAGGAGGGATGGATGGATGGGGAGATAGATGAATAGAGGGATGGATTCATTGATGGGTGGATAGAGGAAGAGATGGTTGGATGGACTGGTAGATGGATAGATAGATAAGATAGATAGATAGATAGATAGATAGATAGATAGATAGATAGATAGATAGATAGATAGATAGATAAGCTAATGGGATAGAGCGATGGATGAATGGAGGGATGGTGATTGGATGAATTGAGGGATGGATGGATGGATGGACGGACGGACGGACAGATAGACAGACAGACAGATAATGGGATAGAGGCATAGATGAATGGAGGGAGGGAGGGATAGATAGATGATAGATAGATAGATAGATAGATATAGATAGATAGATAGATAGATAGATAGATAGATAGATAGATAGATAGGTAGGAATGGAGGGATGGATGAATGGAGGAGGGATGGATGGATGGATGGATGGATGGAGGGAGGGATAGGGAAATAGGTGAATGGAGGGAAGGATAGAAAAATGAATGGAGGGATGGATTCATTGATGGGTGGATAGAGGAAGAGATGGATGGATGGATTGGTAGATGGATAGATAGATAAGATAGATAGATAGATAGATAGATAGATAGATAGATAGATAGATAGATAGAGATAGATAGATAGATAAGCTAATGGGATAGAGCGATGGATGAATGGAGGGATGGTGATTGGATGAATTGAGGGATGGATGGATGGACGGATGGACGGACGGACAGATAGACAGACAGATAGATAATGGGATAGAGGCATAGATGGAGGGAGGGATAGATAGATAGATAGATAGATAGATAGATAGATAGATAGATAGATAGATAGGAATGGAGGGGTGGATGAATGGAGGAGGGATGGATGGATGGATGGATGGATGGAGGGAGGGATAGGGAAATAGGTGAATGGAGGGAAGGATAGAAAAATGAATGGAGGGATGGATTCATTGATGGGTGGATAGAGGAAGAGATGGTTGGATGGATTGATAGTTGGATAGATAGATAAGATAGATAGATAGATAGATCATAGAATCATAGAATCAAAGAGTTGGAAGAGACCTCATGGGCCATCCAGTCCAACCCCCTGCCAAGAAGCAGGAAAATTGCATTCAAATCACCCCCGACAGATGGCCATCCAGCCTCTGTTTAAAAGCTTCCAAAGAAGGAGCCTCCACCACACTCGGGGCAGAGAGTTCCACTGCTGAACGGCTCTCACAGTCAGGAAGTTCTTCCTAATGTTCAGATGGAATCTCCTCTCTTGTAGTTTGAAGCCACTGTTCCGCATCCTAGTCTCCAAGGAAGCAGAAAACAAGCTTGCTCCCTCCTCCCTGTGGCTTCCTCTCACATATTTATACATGGCTATCATATCTCCTCTCAGCCTTCTCTTCTTCAGGCTAAACATGCCCAGTTCCCTAAGCCGCTCCTCATAGGGCTTGTTCTCCAGACCCTTGATCATTTTAGTCGCCCTCCTCTGGACACATTCCAGCTTGTCAATATCTCTCTTGAATTGTGGTGCACAGAATTGGACACAATATTCCAGATGTGGTCTAACCAAAGCAGAATAGAGGGGTAGCATTACTTCCCTAGATCTAGACACTATGCTCCTATTGATGCAGGCCAAAATCCCATTGGCTTTTTTTGCCGCCACATCACATTGTTGGCTCATGTTTAACTTGTTGTCCACGAGGACTCCAAGATCTTTTTCACACGTACTGCTCTCGAGCCAGGCGTCCCCCATTCTGTCTCTTTGCATTTCGTTTTTTCTGCCTAAGTGGAGTCTCTTGCATTTGTCACTGTTGAACTTCATTTTGTTAGTTTTGGCCCATCTCTCTAATCTGTCAAG